AGGTCCGCAATAACAGGATCTTCATTGGCTTCCCCTTTAAACTCTGGAGCTCCTAATCCCTTCAACTCTTTTGCAACATTCATTTTTGGAGTTAAAGTAACAGGAGGTTAGAAACGCATCAATACCGCGTCTAACGTTCTAAAGAATATATCTTGATCATTGACAGGTATTCCAGAGGATGTCTGTTCTTCACTCTGCCTGACCAGGGCAGGTGAATTACTGCTTTCAGCGGGTCTATCGTCTCCCGCTTCATTTCTAGATCTACTTTGTCCGGACATCTATAAAAATATAACCATATAGTTCTATTAGCAAAACAACATACTTACTATTCCATCATATCAGAAGTTTCCACTATTTTATTGGCATGTATACCTTATAAGACACTCTAGACTTCGGGTTATGCCGAGAATCGACTAAACCGTAGCTCTGATACCATTAAATGTAACACCCTTAACTCATATCCAACCCGAATACAAGTCTGAGGTGTCACATTGACTTTTCAAACTTTGACTCTTATGGAAAATCCCGGGAATTTTTAAAACTTTCATTAAAACGAAATACATTAATTTACATAAGACCATAAAATACAAAATCGATCAGAGTATTCGTAATTAATACTTATTACATGCCAACATTCTATACATAACCAAGTACATACTTTGTCAATTACTTCTGATCTGATCTCTTAGTAGTATTGCTGTCCGTGCTACTTCTATTTCCACTTTTCTTGATTCTTGGTACCTACGTGTAAATCACTTATACGCTAAGTCATAGACTTAGTGAGGCAATAAATGAATATGCAACAATAAACTTATGAATGTTCATACTTACCATTGGATCATGACATTTCAATATGCAGGTATCTATCGCACGATAACATATAATGCACATACGAAACTTACCTTCTTGTATCACTTTCACTGTAAATCAGTATTTCAATTGCATAGCCCATGTATATTATTGAGAATAGAGGTATGTGAGTACATTGAGGTTGTGCACTAATGCTGTCACCACAGCTCGTATCAATTCCCTCATGGGGCACCGAACCTTAGTTCAGTATTCGTCCCGTAGGACTATTATCTATGTCCTGTAGGACCCCTACATCCCGAAGGACTACATCCCGAAGGATTATTATACCCTCGACTCTTGGCATGCCAATTACACCTATAGTTCTCATATCATATACTATGGGCATTATTGTTATATTTCATATGTTCATGTACTCATATCATTTCTCTTGTGATCATGTATCTCATATCACTTCATATCATGTTCTCATATCACATGTCATATCACATATCATATCACATGAACATATATGTCTTATGCATATCACAATAATTATCATATATGCATGTTCACCACTACTATATTATAAAAATCAACTTAAGGATTAGACTTATCACAAGTCTTATTCCATTATAATATACATATAGTATGCACTCACCTTAGCTTTGCTTTGATTCGATTCTAATCCTTTGATCGTTCGGAATAAGCTTACTTTTAGTATCTACATAATCACACGTGGATTTATATCAGTATTATAACTAATATACTCTAATGGTTCACTCTTTAGACTAAGAGAAAAGTCAATTTCATCTTTTAATGAAGGTATGCATCGATGCACTACTGATGCATAGGTGCATAAAAGGTATTCGATGTATTATTATTGCTGGGATGCATCGATGCACTCCTTATGCATCGATGCACCAATTGCATTCGATGTTTCATTATTAATGGGATGCATTGATGCACTACTTATGCATCGATGCATGAATTGCATTCGATGTTTTTATTTTAAAAGAGTGCATCGATGCACTACCAATGCATCGATACACCTTCAAACAATTTCTGGGTTTTAACCTTGATGCATCGATGCACTATGAATGTGCATGGATGCACTCTGTCCAGAATCCTCTTTTTGAACCCGAAAATTCATTCATTTTGGATTAAATCCTTCATATTTAATCCTCTTTTTCATTCTTAACTCTAGTACACATCCTTAAACCAATTTATACTCATTTATTTCATCTTAAACCTTCAAATCCTATCCTTCATATGTAATTCAAGAATTACATTAATAAATCAACATGTTTGAATTCCGCTTTTAACACTTCGTATATCTTAACTAGATTGATGAAAAGTCAAATATAACTTTCAATTCTAGTTATGAACTCTATTCCAAGATTTCATTCAAGAACCTCTAATCTTTAATCTTCTCTATCTCCTTTATATTTTGATCTTAAGATAACTTAAGCTTTCCTTAAGCTTAGTTATCATCTAATAATCAAAACCCAATATTAAATTTAACAAGAAACTCAATAATCAGAAATCTTACATTTGCTTTGGTTCACACGCACAAGGAAGAAAGAAGAAGAAGAAGAGAACTCTGGAAGCCTTTGTTGTTCTCTCCTTTTCAACCCACTTGTACTCATATATATCCTTATCCCTTCTTTAATTAATTTTCCTTGCAAATGACTCTTTGGCCCTTCCATTCCTTCTTCCTTTCAATTAAATTCTACACAATCATTTACATAAAAATCTTTATACTATTCATTCATTCTATTTTAATCACCAAAATCTGAAATTTTCCAATTTAGTCACTAACCCGGTATTGAGGATGTTACATTTTGTATAATCAACTACAATTTTTATAAGATGTTTTATTTATTTATTTATTTATCAGTAACAACGGTGATTCTTATTAAATAAAAAATATAATAATATTTTAAGAAGAATCTATAAAAATTAAGAAACACATATTATATTAATCAATCATTTCTCTTAAAATTATTAGAATGCATAAACTGGTTATTAAAGAGTAAAATATGATGATCCAAAAACACCAACACTGTTATTGACGGTGAAAGATAAACATGATCAACATAAACATACAAATAAATATAACAATAATAATATGTTAACAAACCGATTGGATCAAAACTCAACCGTGATATATATTTAATGATTATGTTAATGCAAAGGAATTAATTTAAGGATCTAAATTAATGCTAAATCAATAAAATAATTAAATAAATACCAATAGAAAAAATGAATGGTTGTTTCAATGGTCAAACCTTACGAGAAATGCCATTTTTTTATGAAGCACATGGAGAGGACGAGTTTGGTGAATGAAGCAGAAAAGAGGAAGCCATAAATACCAGAAATAAATGTGGGTTTTTATAGTCGTTTTTCCCGACACTTATCCTCGTTGAAAAATGTGGTACATGTGATGAAGTAATTGGTCGGATAAGTTTGATAACCGACCATGAATCAATATGTCCATTTTCCTTCCCCTGAACTAAAGTAAAATATAAATTATCATTTTTAAAATAAAAATTGTCAGTTTTATTAAAAAAATTAAAATTATAATAAAAAGTTATAATCATAAATGTGAATTAAACACATAATTAAATATTTTTATAATCATTGATAGAAAATATTAGTAACTATATATCACGAAGTGAAAAGTTAAAAATTCATTCTAAAAATTTTGAATAAAATAAAAATAGAATAAATCTGACAACATTAGCAAACAAACCACAATAATCGATCAAACTATTGAAGGCAATCGATAATAGCAAATCAGAGTCGAGCGTCATGAGAAAATTATCTCCGTACGCAAATCGTATATCTAAATTCAATCTTAAAGTCCAAAACAAGGAAGATCAATATGATAACAAATAAATGTCAGCTTGATCAATCAATGCAACATCAAATCCAACCATGAGAATTAATTGAAGAGAATAACCAAACAATCAATAAAAAGGACTAAAAATGGGTCAAAAGATAGAGAAAAATATCATTATAAGATATAAGTTAATTAAATTAGCATTTGATTGATATTATTAATATTATTATAAGATATAAAAAATTAAAATTATGAATGGTTTGAGATATTATATAATAAAAAATATGAGTGCATTTGATTGTGAACTAATTACTTTGAAAACATATGGATTTCCTCATATGGTGTTTCGGGGAAATTTCATCGACAGAACATTTTTAAATTGAATCTCACTCTTTGACAATTCGCTGCTTTAGTATGTTGCGACTAAAAGCCCAATAGAATAATTTTCTAAAAGAGAATACTTGATAAGAAAAATTATACTCATCTTTTAAATGCAAACAATTAGCAAATGTTGAAATTTCAAAGCTCAAACATATTTAATGTTATTATTTTAAATAATTATATTAACAAGTAAAATAAAAAAAGCTGAATTTTAACATCCAAATTCATTATTACATGAATAAGCAAGAAGTGAAGAAGCATGCTAGTCAGTATATTCTTACTAACTCTTAAATATTCCAAAGTGAAATATTTATGTAAACATACAAATCAAGTTACTCTATTAGTTAAGGGATTTTTGTTATCTATTGACGTCTTGAGTTTAAATACAGTGTATACATATATATGGGCGTTCAATATTAAATGATCTAGAGTCTTTGAACATATATTATCTTATACTTAACATAGACTAATAAAAAGCCATTTATGTAATCTTCCTTATTTTATTTTTCTCGTTAGTCTCATACTAACAATATTATAAATTTGTCTAAATATTTATTATTAAATTGGTTGCACTTTTGGAATTATCTTTAGTTCTCTCTTTTAAAATGAAGTGAATCAGTGCATTCTATAAAAACTTTAAAATCAAAATATTGAGAGACTAGTCAAATTAAAGTTTTTTTTTTTAATCTAATGAGGAAATTGGACGGATTAGACAAGTTCGTTTTGCACGTGCATGATATCACATCTAAGACGCAAGCTATTACGAAGAGCTTGGACCCAGAACAAACTCCTCGCATGCTAATGTTGTCTAATGAGTTGGCTTCGTGTTTTTTTCCAAATCAAAGCTTTGAACGACTTTGTTCATATTCTTTCATTCATCGGCCTCCTTCAGTCCAATTCTCGTCCTATAAATACCACACAATCCATCCATGTTTGCTCCCGCAATTCGTTCTTCATTCCATCACTGAATAATATATTACTAATTCCCACAACAAACAATAACATCCCTTTTCACCCACTACTTGCTTGCCCCCACACCCAGTTTTCTTTTCAACTCTAGCACATCATCAATGGAGTTTACGAGAAACAGCCGACAGCTCTTGTCCAAGATAGCCACTAACGACCGACACGGAGAGAATTCGCCCTATTTCGATGGCTGGAAAGCCTACGATAGCAACCCTTTTCACCCGACTCATAACCCTCATGGGGTCATTCAAATGGGACTTGCAGAGAATCAGGTTGAATGTTTTCTCTCTTTATTTTGGTCCCAGATTTTTCCAGCAATTGTCTTACCTTTTATTTTCTTCCGTTTTTTCCATTCAGCTTTGCTTTGATTTGATTGAAAAGTGGATCCTGGAAAACCCAGACGCTTCCATCTGCACCGCTGAAGGCATCGATAAGTTCAAAGACATCGCCATCTTTCAGGATTATCACGGCCTCAAGGAGTTTAGAGAGGTATATATGAACACAATATTCCCAACATTCATTCTTATTACTTTCTAAAGCAGTGAAGAATTAATTATTAATGGCGGCATCTTCTTCAGGGTGTAGCGAAGTTTATGCGAAGAGTAGGTGGAAACAGGGTCAAATTTGACCTGAACCGTATAGTCATGAGCGGCGGAGCCACCGGTGCTAACGAAACCGTCATGTTTTGCTTGGCCGACCCCGGCGATGCTTTTCTCGTGCCATCACCTTATTATGCAGGGTAGGTGATTTTTTCTTAATATAAAAGTGTAATTTGGTTTTCTAAAGTCAACGCCAACAACTCAAAATGGTTTGATAATATGATTAGATCAAGCTCACGTTGATCTATAAAAAAAATTAACTGATTTGCTTTAATAGTAATTTATATAAAACATAGTATTAAGCAAATTAGACTTATGTCTTTGACCTATCACTTCAACAAATTTCTAAAAATTAGACCTTTAGTTTGACTCTAATTCCTCAAATTAAAATTAAATTATGCAGGTTCGCACGTGATCTGAGATGGCGGACCCGGCTGGACATTGTTCCGGTTGACTGCAGAAGCTCGAACAATTTTCGTATAACAAGAGCAGCCTTGGAAGAAGCCTATGAAAAAGCTCGGAGATCGAACATTAATGTCAAAGGCGTCATCATAGCCAATCCTTCGAACCCTTTAGGCACGGTCCTCGACAAAGAGACGATGAGAAGCTTGGTCAGTTTCATCAACGACAAGAACATCCACCTCGTGTGCGACGAAATCTACGCCGCCACTGTGTTTAGCTCTCCTCGATTCATTAGCATCGCCGAGATCATACAAGACATGGATTGCAACCGTGATTTGATTCACATCGTTTACAGCTTATCCAAGGACATGGGGTTCCCTGGCTTACGTGTCGGCATTGTTTACTCTTTCAACGACGATGTTATGAATTGTGCCCGAAAGATGTCGAGTTTCGGACTGGTTTCGTCTCAGACACAGTTTTTCCTCGCTTCGATGCTGAACGACGAGGAGTTTGTCGGGAATTTCTTAAGGGAGAGTTCGAAGAGGTTAGCCAAAAGACACCATGTGTTCACTAAAGGACTCGAACGAGTAGGGATTTCGAGCTTAAAAAGCAATGCCGGTTTGTTTTTCTGGATGGACATGCGACCACTCCTCAAAGAACAAACCGTCGAAGCTGAAATAGAGCTCTGGCGTGTGATTATCAACAAAGTGAAACTCAATGTCTCGCCAGGCTCTTCTTTCCAGTGCTCGGAGCCCGGTTGGTTCCGCGTCTGCTTTGCGAACATGGACGATGAGACGGTCCGAGTAGCACTAGAGAGAATCCGACAATTCGTGCTTCAAGGAAAGGAAAAAGATGATGTATCGGACAAGTCTAAGCATTGGAAAAAACAGAATCTTCGCCTCAGCTTCTCCTCGGTTAGATTATACGACGAAAGTCTCATGACTCCTCGCATGATTTCACCTCATTCCCCGATTCCTCACTCGCCCCTCGTTCGAGCCAGGACTTGAATTAAAACTCAGTAATCATAACTTACGTAGCATTGCATGCATGCCTAATAATGTTTAACTAGACATTATAATTTATTTTTAGGAGATTAGTATGGCTCAGATTGATTTAGTTAATTAGCAGTATCTTTTAGTCTGACGCCAGTAATTAAGCACTAATCTTTTTTTACTCTTCCATTTTCCCCCACATTGATGCCAGTGCTGTAAGCATTATTTTTGTGGGAGATCAGTGTGCATTCGTGGTATTAGTAAATTGTATGTTCCATTCTTAATTTGTACCAAGATGTTTATTATTTCAAATGATAATGATAAACAATTGATTTGTTCTAGTTATTTATGACATGTTAACTATGAATAAAAATAAATGCAAAATATATTGTCCAATTTTATAAATATAGTGTTGTTTCGTATTTGTTATATATAAATATATATACCTACCACTATCAACATATCCTAAAATTAGGCCCAGGTGTTACATGCATGAAGAGAGGAGAGGTTTTCAAGTTAGTGGAAAAAAACCTAATTCTTGCTAGCTATACAAATTTCCAAATATAAAAAGAATCCTGATAATTACGATATATATATATACACACACATATATCAGTATCACTAAGTTGTAACATTGAGACAAGTGGAAAATGTCGATTGGTCCACGTTAATTATGGTTGAAATATTTTTGATTTTGTGCACCAACACAGAAGATAGTTCTCCGACCGGGGGAGACAACCTACCCCCACCGCCAACAATATGTTTGTACCCTATTCTGCAGTTGTCTGCATCTTAAATCCTTGTATTGAATAAATGACACCGATGCACTTATCAGACGAGTTTAGAACCGACCAATTAGGTATAAATGCTTTACGAAATTTTGACTTGCGTATTCTTCTGTTTGCCAACTGAGAAGTATCATAGGGTTTACATTATTAACGAGATAAAATTATTGAAAGCCAGGTTGCAAGGAGAATTTGATACGTAGAGACTCTATAATAAAGTCAAAAGAAGCTAGCCAAGGCAGGCGTACGATGCGAGCTAAGCTGACCTCAAACGTAGGGTTTACATAGGATACGTCTCCAACAATGCTGTGTTGGGTTCAATTTCCGCCTCGTTTTCTTGAAAATACCTCCCCTTACTACATTTACGTCACGTGAATCTTCTTAATTTGAATTATGGAGATAGAGGGGGGGGGGAATAAAGCATTGAAAATAAGTTGTATAATAAAAAAGTCGTCTTAAGGTTTGATCTAATCACAATTACCGACATGGTGGAACATCCTATTCTTACCTAATTACTAAAGCTTTTGATGTCACTGTCAAAACACAAGTTCCACAGCCCAACGGAAGGCTGTCGTTACCCAAAGGTAAAAAATTCATGGGCAACAAGAACCAGATATTTCCACACACTACCAACTAAAAAATTCATCCCATCAGCAACGACAACAATACTCACAAGCAACCATGATGGCAACGCAAGTAGCAAATATCACAACATCATTTTTCCATGGTCATAATGCAGGAGGTAGACTTCCCCCCTTAATTCTTACTGTTTTCTTGTTTTATTCATGTTACCTTAATTTCTTAGATGTTTGCTATGGTCCCACGACACCAGCGAGATTTATGCAAGTAGCTGTCTTTCATATCAGCCAGCCATCTTGTAGATGTGTAACCCTCCAAATTTTCTTCGTTTATATAATGATAATTAATAGCGTGGGCAGCTGGCTTGTTGAAAGCTTACAGTCGTCCCACGAGTACAGAAAAATTTGAGCGTTGAAATGAGCCACTCCTTTTACCCCGAATTTATGAGTGGAAAGCCGGCTCTGTTAGAGAGGAGAAAGTGAAAAATAAAATCATCGTTGATGAAACAGACATTATATTTACATATTAAAAAAAAGTATGAAATGGAAAATTTCAGGGTCTAATTATTGTTGTCAACGGTGACTGAGGATAGCCGGATGCGTGTAGGGACTATAGAAATTTATGATTGAATATAAGAATTAAATTAATATTTTGTCTAAATATCAAAATCATAATAATAATTTATTTAAAATTTAATTCACTTTATTAACATACCACGTAAACAAACTAGTGACCTGTAACATATTGTTGATCAAAATATTATAAAATAATAATATAATATTAATTTTTTAAATTCCAGTGTGATTAAAAGTGAATGCTTGAATGACTATTTCATTAATTTACTTTTAAAAAATGATTCTTTTACTGAGATTCCACTGAATTATTATTTTTCATTAGATTCCACCAAAATAATCTAGTTCATCCTTGGTAGCTAAGTTTTGTACAAAATGCGAATAATATGATTCCACACTTGCACAGATTAAGAGCCAAGATCCTCTCCCAAGTGAAACACACGTGTCTTCAACACGTGTTTCTCTCACCTCTCACTGTCAAAGCTCCCTGAGGCAGAGCCACAGACGGTTCCTTCTTTCACTCTCGCCCACTTCCATTGCCAAATATTTAACTTCACATTCATAACAAATCCCCTAAAAAGGGAAAAAAAATATTCCCAAAACCCTAAAATTTACCCCAATCAAATCTCCTTTCTCGTTCCCGTTATTGTGTATTCATGGTTATCCCTAAAAGTTCTCTCTTTTGATATCCCCAATCATTTCCCACTATCTTATGCCATGGATCATAGACCGCGTGATCTTTCATCGATTCTAGCTCAGAAAACCTTGAATTCCTACTACCTCATAAACCATTCCTCAGTATGGCTCGAAATCCGTCTTTTTTACGTTAGAATCGGTCCGTGCCTTGTTGACAGTGTTCCCGACCATCTCACCCTCTGCCATCTCCGCCGCGAGATCGGTGTCTCCCTCGAGATCAATGGTTCTCGTGTGCCGGCCTCCGATTCCGCCGTCATTACCCTTCGGCGCGATCGTCTCAACCGGGAAGCGTCCGAAGTAACTTATTTGAGCACCGATAGCGTCCGCGTCATGGGCGGGTTTGAATTCGAGGCCTACGAGGATGAAAAGAAGGTGTTGTTGTGTGGGTCGTTGGAAAGGATGGAAGGAGAGTGGAGCATGGACTGTTATCTGGTGGCAGCGGCTACGGAGTTTGGGAATTCGGCTTTTTTGCAGCCCAAGATGGGTGTTTCGGCTCCTGGGACTGAAGTTTATATCGCGGGGAGTTGTGCTGGTACGCCGGTGATATTGACTAAGAATCTACTTGTGAGCCCTCAGAAGAATGGCGCATCGAGGCTTAAATGGATGTTGGATGCAATTCCGGAGGACGAGGAGCTCGGGAAAGGGAACGATAAGGGTGGCGATGGGTTGATTAGACACCGGAAATTGCAGGTGAATTATAATTGGTTTTATTGTCAACATTTTAAAATATGAATCATTATTCATAATGTAGATGTAGATTCAAGTATGGAAGAAGAAGATTAAGGTGTTTGCTGGTTTCATTGTTGTTGGCCGCTTATTGAAGTGATTTTGGGTATTGTCAACTGCTTTGTGTAATCTGATTTCTGCATTTTTCCTATTCTCAAATTTGTCTTCCAGATTCACTTTTGGGGTGAAAATATAATCTTGTCAAGTTCTGCAGGCATAAGAACAACAGCTACGGGGATAACGAAATGTGCTTGTTTTAGTGTGTTCATGCAAATTCGTAGTAGCTTCCATTTTATTTTTTCTTGCAAGTCAATTTGTTTATAATTGTACTGATGTACAGGTTACAGATGCCGATGGAGAAGATTACGACTCTTATGGGAAACTTGGACATAGTCACTACGCCGAAGAAATGTATGCTGGTGAGGATGGCCAACTTTCATGGTTTAACGCCGGAGTTCGAGTTGGTGTCGGAATTGGCCTCGGAGTGTGCCTTGGGGTTGGAGTCGGAGTTGGACTGCTTATGCGATCGTATCAAGCAACTACCCGGAATATCAAGAGGAGGTTTCTCTAAGATAAATCTCTTCACCTACCAGTGTGATGCGTTGTATTATTTATAAAGGAAAAGGATATATTCCAGGATTTTGATAGCAATCTGGAAGGTGTCAAGTTTGCAGGCCAGAAACAAAAGAAAAGCTCCACGATTGCGGTTTTTTCTTTTACCTTGAGCCTGCTAATGTTATGTAGTTGTTCAGCAGTTGGTTTGGATGGTCTGTTGGAAGATCTTATGCTTGTCTTTGTAGGTAATATAAAAGCTGTATGTTCTGTATAAAACTTTGAGCAATTCTTCCATTCAATTCAAAAAAACAAACCAAATACAAATGGCTCTTCCAAAAAATTGAAACTCCAACGTATGAATATAATCAATATTTAAGTAAAAATGGATTGGATGTCGAACGCTTAAAGAAAATATTTTTAAAAATTCAAAACTTGATAGGTTCAACTGGTTCAATCGGCCTGTTTAGTTCTGACAACCCTGATCACCATCGCTGCCAGTAGGAAAGCAGGAAAAGGTCTAGTCGATGGCATCGAGTGACGGACCACAAGGTTGAAGCAACATCTTAATGTAGAGAAATTTGTTGCAGATCCTTGCGTTTTTATGGGAATGCATAATTTTAGGTGACACAAAAACAAAGGAGGGCCTTACCAATTAACAACCTCCCGCCAACTGCAACGGTGCCGATAAAGAAACCACAGGAGAAGAGAAATCGGGTCCTGAAAGCCCAAACAAACCCCACCAAGATGGAAAGCAAGGGAGATGATGAAAGGAGGAGAAAATAGGAGCCGGCTCTAATGCCGTCGGCATATTTATATTATAAATCTCATAGCCTAGCCTAATGCAAATCGAATGCGATAGAACTTCAAAATGTTCATGCCAATTGCTATGCTAATTGCCAAAAAGTGGGACATGAACTGCAAGTTTGAAATTAATAGTCAGTCATACTCTCCCAAATGCAAGGGATTGGAATTCTTCCCCAATCTGAGGAGCTACAACAAACAACGATAAGACTAGATGCTTATGCAGTCCCATTGGCATTTAGCCCCTCAAAATCCCCAAAATTACACCCCTAATCCCTCTAACAACTAACCCATACGCAATGACATTTTTATCCTTCACTCCTCCACACAATTAGTGCAGGGCTCCGAGGATGAACATCACCACCTCCACCGCTACGATGTCGTCTATGCTCAGATCCTCTACCGGAATGCGTCTCCGTGACAACACCACACCTCTCCCTTTGATCGTCTCCCTCAACTGCATCGAAGATTGCGCCCTCGAACAAGAGTCCTTAGCCGGCCTCGCGCTCGTCCACCACGTCCCCCTCAGCTGCTTAGATGATGGCAAGATTGAGGCGGCCTCCGTCGTCATCCTCCACTCCCTCTCCTACCTACCTCGAGCAGCCCAGCGTCGCCTCCGTCCTTACCACCTCATCCTCTGCCTCGGCTCCTCTGATCGAGCAGTCGACTCCGCCTTAGCCGCTGACCTCGGGCTACGTCTCGTCCATGTCGATGCCACGCGAGCTGAGGAGATCGCGGACACTGTCATGGCGCTGTTTCTTGGCTTGCTCCGTCGGACGCACTTGCTCTCTCGCCACGCGCTATCGGCTTCCGGTTGGCTTGGATCAGTTCAGCCGCTTTGTCGGGGAATGAGGCGGTGCCGAGGACTAGTGTTGGGAATTGTTGGTAGATCTGCTTCAGCCCGATCTCTGGCCTCCAGAAGCTTAGCCTTCAAGATGAGTGTGCTTTATTATGATATTGTGGAGGTAAAAGATAGGCTGATTTCCAGTATTAATGGGTCAATTAGTTAACTTCCGACTGCACTCTACCTCGTAGCTTTCTTTTAATCCCGTTGGATTAGTACTTAAAATTTACCTCTTTCCCCTTCACCAAATTAACTTCAAATTTAAACTTAGCATTCCAGTTCTTGCGTGTTTATGAAATTTAGGTAGTACTAATAACTCTCTTATCTACTTTGGGCTGAAACTTTGTGATAAGTGTTACAGAATTTGTCATCGGAGTACAACTTTGGGCTGAATTGCAAATTGCTATAGGCATTTTGAGCTAGATGTAAAGATCATAAAGTTATTGTCTCCTCTAACATGTTATTCAGTTGTATCTTAGTAGGTAAACTGAAAGCGGATAATGAATCTATTGCAAATTGCATTTAATTAAAAATGAGTTTCATTGAGGTTTTTAGTGGTATATATGCATGTCTTGTGTTGTGTACATGGTCTGTTAATTCAAAGGCGCACCTTTATGGATTTTATTAGTTCACAATCTATTTATTTTTTTGCCATTCACTCTGTTTGATGTTTCATTTGGAATAAAATTTCCTCTGAATCTTCTTTTCACAGGAAAATGGAAAAGTAAGCAGCTCTTCTATAACATTCCCACCTTCTGCCCGCCAAATGGATACACTTAATGATTTACTGGCTGCAAGTGACCTTATATCGCTTCATTGTGCTTTAACAAATGAAACCATTCAGATTATAAATGCTGAATGTTTGCAGCATATAAAACCTGGTACATTTGCTTTCATTTTTTATTTTAAAAATTTATGATTCCTTCTCTTTTCTTTTGTATGAATTTGTTTCTTTTTGGGCTACTTCCCTTTAGGGGCTTTTCTTGTGAATACGGGTAGCAGCCAGCTCTTGGACGATTGCGCAGTGAAGCAGCTTCTGATTGATGGCACTTTAGCTGGTTGTGCTCTGGATGGAGCTGAAGGGCCACAGTGGATGGAAGCTTGGGTATGATAAAATCTCTTATTCTATGAATTCAGGTTTTGCTGTGCTATGCTGTTTCCATAAGAAGGTAGTGGTTACTTAAAAAATGTGTGCCTAGACCGAAGTGGTTCTTTGTGCTTTGAAACTGTGAAAACATCTCTGAGCATGTAGTCAGGTTACAAAGTCAGATATCTAAATGAGATCAACTTTGCAATAGGTTCTTGTTTATGATCCGTGGTATATCCGATTCCTTCAATTTGCCATAATATGTCATTTTAGTATAACTCTGCTCCAGTACGTGCAACTCCCAAGCATGAAATTGATTATGGTTACAATACAATTGAAAGGGGATTAGAGAGAGTGAAAATGTGAGGAGTGATAGAGAATGCTCAAATGTATCTTTTATAATCCCCCCTTCATCATCATCATCCAAGATAAAAGAGTAATTTTTTCAGCTTGTGATTGGAAGGATCAATTTCAACTGTGTTGAGGAAGTCGTATATAACAATTTTCTATTGCATATTTAATATCTTTGAAGATGTTGATAGAATCCTTGATGTTAGTTACTATCTTAAATAATTGATTCATTAATCTTATGAATTTATATTATAATGTTTAATTTCCTTATATGTTTTCTATTTCCAAGTTCGAGAGCCCTAATTCTTGGTCACCAAGGATTATAAACCCTATAAATATGTAATGCCTCATGACTATTTTTCTCAAAGTAACAAAATATAACAAAAAGCCTTTTGGTTGTTTGGATTCTCTTGTTAACTTTCCAATTCCCTTTTCTAGAACCTTTGGTTTTTATCAGATGTAACTAATTGTCTTATCATAACATCTTTCCTTCAGGTGAAGGAGATGCCCAATGTGTTGATACTTCCTCGAAGTGCTGATTATAGTGAAGAAGTGTGGATGGAGATAAGGGAAAAGGCTATCTCTATGTTACAAACATTCTTTTGCGATGGGGTTGTTCCAAAGGATGCTGTTTCTGATGAGGATAAGGAAGAAAGTGAAATAGCTGATGAGAAAGGACAGTTTAGCATACAAGAGAAAGAAAGTGCTTTGCAAGGATCTAGTGGTGAACAATTGACTGATGATATTCAACAAAGTTCTGAAAGTAACCTTAAAAAGGATACCAACCGATCTAAAGATTATCCTAATCAAAATCAGCATTCTGTTACTGCAACTAAATCAGATTCGAAATGTAGCAGGTCGGGTAAAAAAGCGAAAAAGAGGCATGCCCGTCAAACTACCCTACAAAAATCAGATGAACGCTTAATATTAGAGACAGAAAGTACTTCACAAAGAGAAGATGACACTGCTATGAGTGGCACAGATCAAGCATTAAGTTCTGGTTCTCACTCCCCTGGGGACTTGAGAAGTAGGAAAACACCTAAAGAGTTACCACTAGGTTCAACTTCTGTCCAGCTTCTTAAAACTAGCAAGAACCTAAGTGGGCAGTCTGATGATATGCTGAAGGAGGGATATGTTATAGCTATGTATGCAGGAGATCGTCCTGCACTTCACCTGTCCAGACAAAGAGTTAAAGGTGGTGGTTGGTTCCTAGATACCATGTCAAATGTAACTAAAAGAGATCCTGCGGCACAGTTCCTTGTTGTCTACAGAAACAAGGTTTGTTGACAGGAATTTATAGTTTTTCGTGTTGATCCTTACACTCATTGTTGCCTTTGTTTGTGTTAATTAACTACAGTTCCTGGGCTTTTGGTAACTGTAGCTGAAAATTTTATGCAATTTTTCCAGGACACTATTGGTCTGCGTTCTTTTGCTGCGGGAGGGAAGTTGCTGCAGGTAACTTTACGTTTTACAAATTATTAGGGGAATGTCTCTCTAAGCATGACTTTACTAAAAATCTTGTTCTATATTTTGATCAATTCTTAGCTCAAAAACCACAGTGAATTGGTTCCATAAATTTGTTGTAAAATAGTCTTCAAATTTTCAAGGGACGTATGCAATTAAAAGTTTTTGGGTGAAATTCTCTAATTTATACTACTGTAGTTGGTTTATGTTTTCTTTGAAATGGTGTGATTTCAGTTAGTCCTTCAACCTTTTTACCAATACAAGATTAGTTATGCTGTAGCTTATCATGAGAACAATGCAATTCCCATGACATTATGAGCTCAGATATGATGATGGCTTTATTTTTGGTCCCAAGAGAGCATACCTGTCTTGCTGTTCCAACCCCTTGGAAGTTTTTGCTTTTGATAAAGTGGGATTTTAATGTTATGTATTCACATGGCAGATTAATAGAAGAATGGAATTCGTGTTTGCTAGTCACAGCTTTGATGTTTGGGAGAGTTGGACAGTGCAAGGTCCTTTGGAGGAATGTAGGTTGGTCAATTGCAGAAATCCTTCGGTAAGTTCCCATCATTTCTGTTATCCTATCATTTTTCCTCCAATATTTATGTTTGAATATGTTTTTGATGCAAGTATCTTGTAAGTGTACCTTTGGATAGATTGTCTGTTCTCCCTGTTATCTTCTCTCGTTTTGATTTGCCTCCGGCACTGGAAATGGCAGGCAATTTTGGATGTACGCATAGAGATTCTGGCAGCGGTAGGGGAGGAGGATGGGGTAACTCGGTGGCTCGATTAGGTTGTCAACAGATGTAGGGGGCTAACATTTTTATTGCCCGCTTTCTATCTATCTATCTATCTATCTATCTTGTTTTGCTTAGTCTTCCGAGTTTGTATTTCCCACGAGTTCTTTACTAATTTATTCCTTCTTTATTTTATCTTGTTTGTTTTTTTAAGCTTCAATTTAGCATTGAAAATCTTGAACAGATCATAGGGTTTGGGGGGAATCCATAGGGCCAAAATGGTGCGCGTGAAACGTTGATCCAGTGGTTCTCAATCTAAACGGCGCATTAGCAACACCTGTGAGGCTCGCCGTCTAGACAAGCCAAGCAAGCATTCGTTTTCAATTATCAACATTCCTTCAAAATAAGACTGCAATAAACACCCGTTTTTCACATCTTCCTTCCACGTTCTTGATTTTGACTCATCATTCCAGATTTTACTTCTTTACAATTATTTATGTCAAATCTATCACGTGGATAAAAAATGTTGCATCAAACATATTACACTCTCGACTCAAGGAGCAATATTTTGGAGCCATAAGTCTCTGATTGTTAAATAATTTTATTATTTAAATATTGAAACTTCCAGAAAATTCGTCTTATCCTCTCTAATTAGTTTTATTATAAATGAAAAGTTAATCGAAAGTGTAATTTTATTCAGGGTACTCTATATTGTATATCACTGAGTTTAAAATTTTAGTCAGACACTAATTCAAGTAAAATTAGTAAACTATATTTAATTTATATTATAATTTATATTATTATAACATTATTTTTATATTTTATATAATCTTAAATAAATAATTTAAAAATTATATTTTTAACAATCAAATTTATATTTAATAAAATAAATGTATATGTTTTCTATGCTGGATAATTATTATTAATAAAATATTACAAAATATATTTTTATATAAATTTATTTTCTTTTAAAATCATGAAGATGATAAATTTTAATAGTGATAACAATGGTACCTCTAAATTTCACTTTAATCTAAAGGACATGTGGGCATAGGCCCCTTAAATAAAATGATAATTCGTTTTGAAACTTAATAATAAATGGGTTTAGTCATTTTTGCTTAAATTTTCCTGACATTAACCTCAGATAATTTATATTTTACCCCCTTAACTTTACTCATGCGTACCATTAAAAAAAGCAAATCATGTATAAAAATATACATTAAACCAATTTTTTATATTTATTCTTTCTAAAATATAAAAATCCCAAATTAACATGTGTATGATTGTCGGTTTATTTAAGTAAATATTGTGGGGGAGAAAATAGGGATGCAGTAAATTATTTAGAAAAATATATAAAATTCTATAATGTTTAAAAAATATATTTTCAGATGAATACAATTTTATCATTCGATGACTCGGTAAATCATTATTCAACATTTTTATGTTTTTCATAAAAACAACTGGGTAAATCACATGTTTAAATACCTAAACTATTATTTTTATTATGTTTTAGTACTTAAACATTATTTTTTTTTTCAAAATCATACCTAATGTTTGGATTAAGTTTCAATCTTATATAAATATTTGTTGTTAAAAACTTAACGACACCGATGATGTGGAACTTATATTACAAGATGCATGGAATATCAAAAAAAGGAAAACAATGCCACATCATCATTGTCGCTAAGTTTTAACGATTGATACCAAATTGAAACTTAAACTAAACATTAGGTACAATTTTAAAAACTAATAAAGTTTAGGTATTAAAATAGAATAAAAGTGATAGTTTAGATATTAAACGTGTAATTTACCCAAACAATTTCTATTATTTTCCCGTTTGGTTCCAGGAATCCCTTGGAATTAGGGAGAATTGGAATCTAATTCCACCACTTTCTCATGTTTGATTCAAGTTTTCAAAGGGAATTAGAATCTCTCATGACTTCAACTTTTCATTAAATGAGGGAAAATGAATTTCGTCAATTCTATGATGGAATTTAATTCCCTTGTTGGAGGAAATTGAAATTTGACCATACTACCCTCGTCAATCTTTTGGTAACTTATTCATATATTGAATAAAAATATTTTTTTTATTATTTCGGGTTGGGTCGGGTCGGATTTCTAATTCATATATTCGGGTCGGTGAAACTTTATTTTGGTCGGGTCGAGTCGAGTTCGGGTTTAGGGTGAAAAATACCGACCCGACCCGAATATATATATAATTTTACCTTATATATTTAGGAATAATTATAATAATACCCCTCTATATATAATTTTTTTCAATTAAGTCATTGTTTTTATTGAATAAAAATAATTTTTTTATTATTTCGGGTCAGGTCGGATTTCTAATTCATATATTCGGGTCGAATCGGTTTTTTTAAGTGCGATATTCGGGTTGGGTTCGGGTTTAGGGTGAAAAATACCCGACCCGACCCATAAAATATATAATTTTACCTTATATATTTAGGAATAATTACAATAATACCCCTCTGTATATAATTTTTTTCCAATTAAGTCAATGTTTTTATTGAATAAAAATATTTTTTTATTATTTCGGGTCGGGTCGAGTTTCTAATTTATATATTCTGGTCGGTCAGGTGAAACTTTTATTTTGGTCGGGTAGGGTCTCAGATAGAGGTTTCCTTATTCTCGTGTCGGGTCGGGTCGGGTGGACCAAAAACCCGACCTAACCCGCCCCATGGCTATCCCTAATTGGGATAATTTTAACTTATAATGTTTATTAACATGATTTTTATAATTTATTGAAATGAATAATCAATCAATCAAATTAAAATTTAATATTTTTAAAATTTTTATAATATATTACTACATGTAATTTATAAAACAAACTAAAATTAAGTAAAAAAACAAGAAGGGCAATCATGTCATATTACATTACTGAAATCAAATTCATCTTACATGTCTGCGAACCAAACAAAATATGAAATTGGATTCCAATTCCTGACAGATTATAATTCCTTCACAGATTCGAATTCCCTCAAAAACATTCCAACGAACCACGTAAATAAACTTATAATTGCCACTGCCCTCTACAAAAATTCGATGATCCTGATTTATCCACGTGTAGGCTCATCGAGCAGAGTTTTGTATTATTATTTTGGTATTTCCCCCACCATGGAAACCGGAGCCTGTTTATATATAAAACTCAGGGTAGTCAGCTCCTTACAAGGATTGGTTTCTCCTCACCTTTTGTGAGAATTTCCAGACAACGAAACAACAAAAACTATTAAAAATACACACACAAAGGAAAAACCGTAAGCAAAGACCGATGTATTTACACTTTATATGCACATTTCGTTGCTCGTGATGCTGATGTAGTTTTTATTGATCAATTTATCAACTTTTAGTTTTGATCGTGATTGGAAGAAGATTGAAGCATTTGTTGGGTCCAAGACAGTAATCCAGGTAATTTAAAAGAAAAGGTTATGATTTCTTCACCAGCTATATGTTGTTTTTCTATATGTTTCACTGAATACTTGAATGGATGCTCTTGGCAGATCCGTAGCCATGCCCAGAAGTATTTCCTAAAGGCTCAGAAAAATGGGACAGCTGAACATGTGCCTCCACCTCGGCCGAAAAGGAAAGCGGCTCATCCGTACCCACAAAAAGCTCCGAAAAATGGTCGGTATCATTGTGTTCTTTTTTTATGAGTTCTTGATCTTGAATTGACCCTCGGTAATATCTGCATTTGTCGCAGTTGCCGTTGTACCCCAAGTCGCAGGGCCATTTCAATCGTCATCTGTATTACATGAATTTGGTTATACCTACAGACCAGATTCATCACCAGTGCTCGGAAATCCAATTCCCAAGACGGCTTGGCCTTCCTGGAGTTATGACTCTGTGCCGCCTGTCACTGTGTCCCAAGTGACTAAAGGTTTTAACTGTTCCTGCACTTCTTTTTTCGTCCTTTCGAGTCTCAAAAGCGTAATAACATATGGATCTTGTATTGTTTTAGATAATGCTATATTTTCCGGACCAAATTTTGCACCCAACTCTTGTTACAGTAGTAGTAATGAAAGCACTCCGAGAGCTTGGTCATTTGGCGAAACAATTGCCCGAGGGGATAATGGGAAGCAATCTAGAGGTTTGTACTTTTATTTTCACTTTGAGCTTGATACTGACATCACCAAACCATGTTAATGTATTCTCGCACTGGGGTACTAGGAACAACATATAAACCTAAATCTTTCTTGATATTCATATTTTCTGATTCACATCATGAGTCCCATTGGTTATAACTCATAAACTCTGCCTTCTTTTTGATGCAGTTTTGCCAGATTTTTCTCAGGTGTACGCTTTCATTGGCAGTGTCTTTGACCCCGGTGCAAGCGGCCACTTGCAGAAGCTGAAGGAGATGGGCCTGATAAATGTCAAGACAGTATGTCACCCAACTATGATGTTAATAATCTGAAGAAGAAGAAAAAATCTTGGTTGGGTGTGTTTGTTTGAAGTAGAGGCTTCAATATTTTGCTTAAAAGCTTATGGTTAACTGAATGGACGCTGTTTGGCTGTTTTGCAGGTGGTGATGTTGACGAGAAACCTCACTGCCAATTTGACGAGCCCTGAGTTTGAGGTTCATGTAAGTTCTTTTTCCTCTTATTGGCGCTTAAGACAGTATATGTCTAAACCGTGTTCAAGTTTGTATTTAAACTGATCACTTGTATACATTAATGCAGAGGAGGTTGCTTTCAACGTATGAAGCGGGATCCAAGACTGTTAATCTCGGTAGCTCCTACAATGGCATTCGCACTTGCAAATCAGCAACTGCTATTCCAACTGCATAATAACATACGAACACCAGGTTGCGAGAAAAAAAGATGCGGCAGATTATCTTGCTAACAACTCGTAGCAGCCAGTTGCGCACGCACGCATGCATGTATGCCTGTTTATATGTGTGTCATGTGAGGTGTAGATACGATCTTTTTCGAGCACCTGGTAGCTTGTCGATACAGGGATGACTTCTTTTGGTGTATAGAGCGAGCAAGCTATTGAGTTTTGCAGTGTAAATTTTCTCAGGGTTCGTTCCATTATGGTTGGATACACAAACTCTTATGTTACCGTACTCATTTACCAGTGCTTAACAGAATCAAATTTCATCCGCTTTTCTTTTGCTCCTTTAAATTATCTATTTGGAGTACATTTACATGGCTGAATTCACTATTTTCCCTTTTTTTTAATGACAAAGCATGATTTAGTGTTCGAATTAGATTACTTTTCTCGCATTGATCAGGGACCATATTATATTAGTCTCTGAATTAAAATGGTTGTCCCTTGTTCCCATATATAATGGGGTAAGGGGGAGGTAAGATAGTAGGCTGCCCCTAACACCAGGTTGAGAGCAGCTTCCGTAGAAGACCTACGAATTATGAAATGCCCTCCGTGGGACTCGATCCCACGACCTCAAGGTTAAGAACCTTGTGCTCTACCAACTGAGCTGGATAATTTATAATTATTTGGTTCCAATAGTTTTTGAAATTTTTCATCCACATTAGTCCTAGCATTTTCGTTCACGGATTTTAAGGATTTAGAGTTGATTTAAACGACTGGATTTCAAACATAAAGGGGGGAAACGGGTGAGGGGAGTTGGGTTTGATCAGGTTTGAAAATTGGGTTGGGTTAGATCTGAGTTTGGACAAAAGAAATAAACCACACAGAACAAGGGACAATTGCAACCAAAACGCCCATTTCAAGTGTGATAATAATCATTTTAATTATAGTGAGCCACAGTAATCCCCTCCAGAGTTGAGAACATCAAACCTATCCTCAATTCTGGGAGAGAAACAATCCATTGGCAAAACTACAACCAAAACTCATTATCTATACTGAAAACCCATGTCTAGCTCGTGACCGTACATCCCTTGGCCCTGACTATGGCCGGATGCACCAAAAGGGTCGATCTGCTTTGACTTGGACCTGAGTTCCATCTCAATAAGACTCTGACAATGCCTCTGGATGATGGCTCCCACTGCCAACGTCATGTCCTGAAATAATGAACAAACAATAAGGTACATTATTATTCACAAATAAAATGTGCAATGTGATCATTGTGATAACCGTGGTTCAAAAAACAGGACAACCCGCAACAGACTGCAGGCAGTTCAGTTTTCATTTTTCCAGCAGAATTGAGGGATCCTGGATGAGGTAAACTTTTATGGTTAAGTGCAGAAAGTTTTGTCATGGTCAGATCAAACTTCTCAAATGGGTTAGGTTTTCCAAATTTGAAATTGGCAAAGATGAGAAAGAAACAAGACATATTAAACGCTTTACCAGGAGGCATTCCAAGACCAGCAAAGTTGGGTTGGAGATGCCGGTGACCAGGCCCCAATTGTAAACGATGCATTGGATTCAATTCAGGTAGCAAGCCAGTCATCCGATTATTTGAATGAGGCGGCGGCGGTTCAACACAAGAAAATCCTCGTTGCAAGTTGGGTGGAGGGAAGTTTCCAGGCATATGCGTTCGCTGTAACATAGGATGATGAATTGAAGGATCAAATCCAGTTAGTCCACTGCTAGGATGATGGAGAGGACGAAGCATACTTGCAGGAAATTGATGATTTGGTGGGACATCATGATGGATGATGCCTTCCGGAGACATGAACTTCATCTGAGAACTAATTTTAGAAGGATGTGAATCTAATGAAGGAAACAAAGGACCTCCATAATTCAATTGAGGACGAAGGTGTGGAGAAGAAGCTTGGATATTATTGTTATGAAATGGAATATCTGGCCCCCTCACCTCATAAGTACCCGGAGGAAAAGGTTGACCTTTTTTCTCTCCCACAACAGGTCTTTCATCCTTGAAGACAGCCTTTAAAGCTGCTAGTTTCTCAGCTACGTCAACCGGTGCCCCTTGGAAGGGCAATAGCTCTGGTTTTACACTACCAGCCATGAAATTCTGGAGCTTCACAGGATTGCTGACACCAAGCAAACTATCCTCTTCAGGAAGCCCAATTTCAGCAGATCCATTTAAACCACCAAGTTTAGATCCTAATCCAGCTCGGAGATGTGATGAATCCACTGCAGATGGAGCATCATTAAAGCCTAACAAATGGTCTTCAAACCCATCAGAATGCATTTGTTCTCTTCGCGTAAATGGTAAATTATTTTTTTCAAAGTTAGCCCTGTTTGACCCGACATGATCAGTGGAATGAAGAAGACTATCATCTGCGACATTACGGGCAAGCCTGTTAGATTCGAATATATCAACTCTAGCAGACTCTACAGAGCCCATCTGGACAGAAGCTGGTGCTTTAACTGATTGTAGTTCCTTCATGAAAGCACTTCCAAAAAGTGCTTCAAGAGTTAGACTCTTCCCTGAATCAGAAGCATTTTCTGCAATTATGTCTATTGAATCACAAGGTGCCGTGTCAGCAGTTTTCACCCTTTCTGAAGACCTGACGTCATGATTGGCAGATGATACTATAGTTTTTGTACTTGTTTTATTTTGTAACAAAGAAAGAAGGTGCTGGGATGCATGATTGTCGACATTAACTTCTTGCTTCTCACATCCGGCATCAGGAATTTTCCATCCTTCAATAGCAGGAGGCAAACTCGGATCATTTTCTTTGCTTTCTGACAGAATTGACTTTTCAAGATCCTCACATGTAAGGACGGCTGGAACTGCTGCTGAGTTGTTAACATCATTAATATTCCATGATTGCTTGGAGTTCACAATTCCAGTCGATGTCAAATTTGATCTAAAATGCATGTCCGCAAGTTCAGAGATTTGAAATGGAAAGTTTGATACAACATGCTTACTAGCCATCCTATCACGGGAACCGCCTTACCACCCTGAATTAATGAGAGCAAGTCTTTTGGCCTGCCAGGGGAGAGATCATCTATTGGTTTTTTCTCTGCAAAGACAAAAACAAAACAAGAATATTAAATCATAGTTTTTACTTCAGAACTAAGCAGTTCACTTAAAGCCAGATTACTTGTAACAAGCGCCAACAAACCTTCATCAAGAAACAAATGAGCGAACTTAGAAGAATGGGAACTGTCAAGGGACCATGTCTCATCAGCATTGCTATCATTAGGCTGAATATTATGAGATATTAGAAGTCATTAAATATTTCATCAAGGAAAACTAGAAGTGAAGGATTCAAAATAAAGTACCTAAAAACTACATGTAAATATGATGGATCGCTTTAATTACATTAAGGGAACTAGAAGTGAATATTCAACTGAAGTGATAATTTGTAAACGTCTTCTATATATGTGTTTGAATTTGAATGCGTGTCCTGAAACCAATGTTTTAAAAAGCACGCCTGAGGCGCTTTGAGGCGCTAGGCGAGACGTTTAGAAGAAAGCCTCCGACCACCAAGGCGACGGCGAGTACATGAGACGGTGATTCAGTCGTCGGAGGCGGCGAGAGACGACGTTTTTAGTGATTTACGTACAATGACCCATTTCAGATTGGGCTTTTTGTCTTCATGCGAGTGAGCTTCAGAGATAGAGAACGAGAACCGGTCAAAGGAAGAGAAGGGGAAGGGAGAAGCTGGGAGTGCCTTCCGGGTCGACTCAATGAGCCGTGGATGAAAGACAAAAGCGAGTTGGAGGCGGCTGCCATTGGTGGAGAGATGAAGAGAATAAGCAAGTAGCAGCGGAGTTTCCAGTTTGAAGCAAGTGGAAACTGAAGAATGCTTTGGTTAGACCATAGTGTTTATGCTTATAGTAGCGTGTGGATTCAATGGTGGGCGCCAAACTAAAACAATAAAATAATAATTTTTTTCATTATGATCATCGCCATTCCCCAACTGTGTTAGACATTTTCGATCCATGTTTTCATCGTAATCATCGCCATCAATATAACTGCATTATTTTACCCAATTTTTACACTTTGTTAATTCAATTTCTTTGGAACATATATTTTCCTATATTTTTTTATAATAATTAATATTTTAAATTTAATCTTTTAATGATACAATAATATTAAAATATTCTAAAATTGGTAACGAATTAAATTGGATCAACTTTTTTATCAATACGATTTTATTCGGAAATATACATCCTCCACTTAAAAGGTAACATTTTTTATACATGAAGCTGATATTTAATTGTAAATGTTAATATAGTATTAATTTATTTTAAATTGAAATTTGTGTGCTAAAAAAATTGAGGTCTCAAATTATATTAGGGTCATATTTAGTATTGTCTATTAAAAGTATTATTGAGATTAAAAGTATTCTTGAAATTTGGTGTTTTTGCTTATTAATTTAATTATTGAGTTATTTTTGTGTTTGAGGTATAGTTATAAAATATTTATAAATGTTTTGTAAAATTAAGCGTTTCACGTAAGTGAATCTCTTGCCTCAAAGTGCCTCAAAAATTGAGGCTTTCGGGTAGCTAATCGCCTTGGAGTGCCTCGCGCCTTTTAAAACACTGCCTGAAACCAAAATAGTACCTCAGTGATATTAGTGGAGCCACCTCCATCTGCTATTACAGCACTGCCAAAACTGTCTAGAATTGAAGTTGAACCGTCTTGGCTGGTTTCAGTCAACATTTTATCTGCTAGCAGCTTCTTGGAATCAAGTTCAGTACCTCCACTGGTTCCTGGGGCTACAAAGACTTCTGAAAGACTAGAACTCTTGTATATATGAGAATCCTTGCTTATGGTCTCATTAAATTTATCTAAAGCTGATGAGAAACTCGGAGCATTAGCACTCTTATTATTGTCTAAAAGGTGAATGTTTTTACTTTCAAGCCTCTGCTCACTCAAAGTTTCCTCTGCATGCTGTTTAGTCTGTTTTGTCAAAAGATCATCAGAAATCCCATTAAAGAGAAGGCTTCCTTTGGACTCTGAAAGGTTGCCCTCAATCTGAAAACTCCCAACCTATAGAAGCATAACAGAATATATATTGCTAATTAACAAAAAAAGACACATGATTAATATGAGACGCAATATCGGTCAATATAATTGAAATATGCTTTGCCCTAATAGCATCAGCTGTAAGTACAAATATGAAATTTACAACTACTTAATGAAACCACGTGCAATCAACAACCACAAGGTAATAATATCCAATCTTTCAGCACTCATACATATAGGCCAAATCAAGGAACAGAAAACACGACACTTTAAAGCAGAGCACAATGCAACCTTTGTCCAATCTATAATTCCATTAAGAGACTTACAAAAATAAATCATCTTTGTTATTGTCTCAGTTATGCATGTTTACTATTGGTGTCATATACAGACTACTATATATAAAGCAACGTCTTTTCCAGTCAAATCCAAATGAATAAGGAAAAGATCACAAAAGTTACCACTGAATTTTAATTATATATGGCCAATTTCATGAGCTGATCTTAGGTGATAAAATTGTTTCTCTCCGCAATCCAACCAGAATAATGGAAAATTCAAAATTCCCTCCATATCTTCAATTGGTTCCCAACTTTAGTCCTGTTGTGTTATAACTAGGGAAGCAGCCAGTACATGAAGATCAAATAGTTGGTTCAAGGTAGCAATTAAAGATCATGTGAAGGAAAAAATGACGAAAACTCTGAAAACCAATGATTGACACTTGCAATCAAAATTACATGCCAAAAGATAAATAAATAAAGAGATCATAATGGGTGTTAAATTCAGAAAACCAATGTAGTACTTACATGTGAAGAATGGGAGTGAATTGAAGTTTTGGCTCCAATATTCTTCTCCAAAATTGTGCTTGCAAAACCAGGTGGTACAAGTGGTCTGGAAGAAGGAGTTTGTACAGGAAGAAATGATTTTTCAGAAATATTGTTTGATATTGGAATAGATTCATCTGATTCCTTGCTTCTGTTTGCAAGTCCTTTATCATCTTTGGAGTCCATTAGCAATTCAGAAAAATCGAAGTCATCTTTACGCCTTTCAGAATCTTCTTCTCCTGGAATGCTCTTTGTTGTTCCTTCCTCCATGACTCAAAGGAAGCTAAGAGGTAAAGTCATTATGCTTTAGCTTTAATTATTTGAAAACAAAACCAGAGAACAGAAAGAAGATAAAACATAAACAAAATAAACTACAATCAGCAAAGAGTTCTCTGTTCCTACCTCTTCTTTTTCTTTCCTCTTCTGTTCTATCTTCACTGGTGCACTCAGTGGAGCCAAATGTTTCATCATTATATGAGTCATGAGTTTCCCTCCTTGAATGAGGTACAACCTGGGAAGATATCAACGCATAAATGACATATATTAAAACCGTATTTCAATTGCTACAGGATCGTCTCACAATTTCAGGCAGATATTATTTAAGCCGAATACTTTGAGATATATTTTTATGCTAACTTGAATAAAAACAGCTATCATGATACCAGTTTCAATATTATCTGCAAATGATAATAAAATCAAACAAGTACCTTATAAGGGCGGGGTGGATGGTATGGCTCATTACTTTTATTTAGATGGTATTGATCGTTAGCTCGAAACTTTGGTGCAGAAGCTCCTGCAGTAAATCCAGATGGTCGAGAAAAATAACCACTCCCCAGAAGCCCATCATTCTCAGGACCTTGCCAAGACCGCCGGGATTGATTACCATGACGTCTTCCAGGATCTATATATCATTAGAATCATTCAATTTCGACCATGATAGAATTTTTAGATGCTGTATGCAACACATAAATGAAGAAAGCCCCAACTACAAGAATGGTTTTACCAAACATTGTTGAGATTGAAGTGATAAGAGTGAATTACCCAAATTAATCAACAGAAAGTACGATGCACAAAGTAGTCGATATAAACAGTAAACACAAAATAATACCATTGATAGAACAAAAGAACTATAAACATTACCAGAGTCCCAATCGGACTGGGTATCACCGTCTCTATCAATCTTTCCACTAGAGCGACAGTCCCACCGTCCATGAATGCCCCGGAAATAGTTACCTGATTCCCCTCTTGTTGGCGGTGATGAACTACATTCATTACGCCTGTATGATGAGAAGGTGCCAGGAAGTCTTTGCCGATCTTGCGATGTATCCTCAAATTCACTGTTCCAACCACATAACAACCAATGAATACCATCAGGATCTAAGTTTTCCTTCATCTTCATAATTCCGTTAAGTGCATACTCCATGACCATAAAAAAGAATCTCACCTCAAAATTGATTTATCAATTCCCGGGGGTAACTTTTTGCAAACATCAAGTTCACTCAATGACAGCAAAAAATCTCTACTATATGAAATTCTATATTTCCTCAAAATTGATTTATCAATTCCCGGGGGTAACTTTTTGCAAACATCAAGTTCACTCAATGACAGCAAAAAATCTCTATTATATGAAATTCTATATTTCCTGGATCATTAGAAAACAAATTGGTTATCAGCGTCACTCAACCTAAAACATCTGCAAAACATTAAACAAAAAATAATTATTCAGCAGAAGTGATTACTTTTGAGGTTCCTTGCTGATACCCGCATGCTGATCTAATGAATGTTGCTCTTCATTTTCTAAGCTCATTTCTACACAAATTTAAAGATGAGAATATACAAAACACTCCTTAACAGTTTAGCTGTAGCTGCCTCTCCAACTTACACAAAAACCAGCACATCCTGAATATAAATGTCATTCAAAACATCGAACCCAGTGAAAGCTTCTGATTAAAATCGAAATGAGAATTTCTCGGGTTCTTGTGCGAAGCTGCCAAAGTTCAGGGAGAAAACTAAGGTTTCACTCTTTGCATTGAAAAATAAAATTGAAGAAGAGCTACT